AATTTTTGGGAATAGTTCGAAGGAGGATAGATGTTAGTTCTTCTCTGAATGTTTGTTTGGCAAAATTCACCTGTGAAACCATTTAGTTGATGATTTATTTTGGGGGAGATTTTTGATTACCGCCTTAATTTCATTAATTGTAATTGTTCTATTCAAATTTTCTGATTCTTCCTGATTCAGTTTTGAAGATTGTATGTTTCTAGGAATTATCTATGTTGTCCAGATTATCTAATTTTTTTTGTCATATAGTTGTTCATAATGTTTTTTTATAATTTTTTTTTTTTTTTGGTGTCACTGTTACTTCTATTTCATTTTTAAATTTTATTTATTTGGGAATGCTCTCTCTGTTTTTCTTGATGAGTCTGTTTAAAGGTTTGTCAATCTTGTTTAATTTTTGAAAGAACTAGCTCTTGGTTTAATTGATCTTTAGTAATTTTTTTAGTCTCAATTTTATTTATTTCTGCTCTTATCATTATTATTTTCTTCCTTCTGCTCACTTTGGACTTTGTTTGTTGTTCTTTTCCAGTTCCTTGAATTGTAAAGTTAGATTGTTTACTTATGATTTTTCTTGTTTTATGAAGTAGGCCTGTGACGCTATGAGTTTTCCTCCTAGGACTGCTTTTGCTGTTTCCAATATATTTTGCATGGTTGTGTTGTCCTTTTTATTTGTTTTAAGGTACTTTTTCCTTTCTTCCTTGATCTCATTGTTAACCCATCTTTTAACCTATTGTTAAACCATTCATTGTTTAGTAACATGTTATTTAGCCTCCATGTATTTGTGTTTTTCAGGTTTTCTCTTGTAATTGTAGTTTCATACCATTATAGTCCGAGAAGATGCTAGATATGATTTGAATCTTCTTAAATTTATCGATACCTCTCAGTGAATTACCAGATAAGGGTGAGTGGTATTCACCAGATTAATACAGGTTCAAACTCAGTGCCAGTGCTGATTCTGAGGCCTCTCAGCAAAAGTTTCAGAGTGTACCAAGTCTAGCTGCCTCTCCCCAGGTGCCCACATACCTTTGTTGTGTGGTGGGGTCTCAAAGAATCCTTAGGGTGAGGCCAGCAGAGTTTATCAGGCCCAAACAGACCATGATTTTGGCCCTGTGAATGGAAAGCTCTGCATTGGTTGTGCATGTGAGGGAAAAACGGCCCATCCTAGAGCCACACAACTCAGTCTGTCCCAGATTCTGCTGGGAGACCAACCAAGCTCATCAGGGCAGGGCTGCTGGGATTTGGGAGTGTGGGGCTAGTGGATCTCCCATGAGGGGAAGGTGTTGGACAGGTTCATTGGAAAGTGGAGGTAATAGTCCTCTGTGCCAAAGCCACCCAACTCAGTCACTGACACCCTCTGAGTTTTCCTGGACCTCTTCCCGGGCCCAGGTGGCTGACTCTTCAGCAGGGCACCAGCTCTGCAGGGTGATGTGACAGGGAGTCCAGAGGGTGGCGCTATTGCATTCCCCCAGTTGATGCCATATGAACAGGAGTGCTCCACTCCATGATGTCGTGATGTCGACTGTGATGTGGGAGAGGGACTCAGTACAGGGATCCTGGCAGCTGTCCCTTCAGCTCACTTCCCAGAGCCACAAACTCCAGTCTCTCCTCACATGACTCTAGTCTGCTCTGCCCTCCCTCTGCTGGAGCCTAGTATGAGTGACTGAGAACAAGATTTTGTCTGTTGGCCCTTTAAGAGAGTGCCTGTCTCTATCAGACTTTAGTCTCTCTCTGGCAGATAGAATTCCTGCTGATTTTCATAGCCAGATATTATGTGGGTATATCTTCCAGGCTCTGGTGCTCTGGGATGTGGAGTCCAGTGTGGGGTTGAGACCCTTGTTTCTCAGGGGAACCTTTGCGGCTCAGATATCCCTTTGGATTCTCAGCCATCACCCATGGGAGCAGGGCCAGCCCTTTTACTTCTTTATCCTTCCTACCAGTCTTGATGTGGCTTCTTCTGTCAATCCTTGGTTATAAGATGAATGTTCAGCTAGTCTTCAATTGGTTATTCATGTTGATTATTCTGTATCTTAGTTGAAATTCCTGTTTGGTCCTGGTTGGAGGTGAATGTAACTTCCACCTTCTCTGCCACCATCTTGGATCCCCTACAATTGTTGCAGACATTTCAGAATATGGTTTATGATCTTCACTATCTTGAAATTATGAGGGATTTCAGTTTTCACTAGTGATAACAGTTTTCACTACAAAGAAAGTAAGAAGACACTGTGTTCATAGATAGACACATTAATATATCAAAAGCTTTAAGGTTTTGGATTCCTTTTTCAACATAATTGCTTTGTTTTATAAGTATGTATTTTATTTTATTCATTTAAAAATTATGTTCTGAGATGACTCCATAGGATTTATCAGAGTCCCAGAAGTTTTATTACACAAAAAAAGTTTGAAGCCCTGGCCAGTTTGGCTTAGCAGTTAGAGCATTGGCCTGTGGTCCAGAGAGACCTGGGTTCGGTTCCCGCTAAGGGTGCGTACCTCAGTTGCAGTTTGTCCCTGGCCCTGGTTGGTCATGAGGGTGGCAGCCACTTGATGTGTCCCTTTCGCATCAATGTCTCTCTCTCTCTCTCTCTCTCTCTCTCTCCCCCCACCCCTCTCCCTGCCACTCCATCTGAACAAAAAATGGAGAAATGTCCTCGGGTGAGGATTTAAAAAAAAAAAAGTTTGAAAAATATTGTTCTAGATGGTGAAGAATAAGTAGTGAACAGTTAGTTCCCTGATCCCAAGGAATTTACCTTGATATGGGCAAAGAGCGATATAACAAACAATAAGCAAGTAAAGAATTTCAGAGCAGCAGAATTTCAGGTAGCAATATGTATTTATATATATAATTTTTGCTAATGACAACAAGAAGCCAGGCATGGAAGATCCAAGAGTAGAGAGCTCCTGGCAAATGGAATAGACAGCATGTGACTTGGAGGTTTGGCAACCTTGGTGTGATCACGAAATAACCGGAAGGCCAGTATGTTCCGAAGTCAATAGGTGGTAGAGATGTAGGTCATTCTAAGTGAGGTTGAGAGTAGGAGAAATGAGAGAGACCACATCATATAGAGCATGTGGCCTAGGGTTATAGGTTTCAGTTTTATTCTAATTGATTGCTGAGCTACGATCACCACCATCCACCCACAGAATTCTTTTCATCTTGCCAAACTGAAACTCAACTCAATAAACAATAACTTTCCATTCCTCCCATATACCAGCATTGGAGATTTTTGAGCAGGGCAGTGATAACAAGTGTTTCACATTTTAAAATATGACTGCTGACCCTCTGGAGAAAATGCTGCTAGGTAAGAATAGAGGTACCAACAGGAAACTGGTTAGAAAACACTGCAGATGAGAGATGATAGTGTATGAACCATGGCATTAGCAGAGGATAGATCCGAAATGTATTTTGGTAGTAAATCAGACAGGATTTGAGGATGATAGGAACAGGTATGGAGAAGGATGTGGGTTCTTCCTCAGGCATGTTAATTCTCAGTTCCCTATTAGACACCTGGGTGGAGGTGCCCAATAGTTGGGTGTACACACTCAGGGCTCGGAATAGAGACCTGTATGTGTATATTATAATATGTTTGGGAGCAGTTGGCAAGTGGGTGGTATTTTTTTTTTTTTTTATCCTCACCCGAGGACATTTTTCCATTTTTTTTTGTACAGACAGAGTGGGAGGGAGAGAGAGGAAGAGAGAAAGAGAGAGAAACATCGATGTGAAAGGGACACATCGAGTGGCTGCCACCCACATGACCAACCAGGGCCGGGGACAAACTGCAACCAAGATACATGCCCTTAGCGGGAACCGAACCCGGGTCTCTCCGGACCGCAGGCGAGCACTCTAACCGCTGAGCCAAACCAGCCAGGGCAAGTGGGTGGTATTTTAAACAATGGGGCTGGCTGAGATCATCAGGGGAGATCATACAGATAAAAAAGAGGTGCAAGAATAGTTCTTGGGGTCAAGCCGAGAAGAGGACTCTATGAATGTGCTAGTCAATCATAGAGAGCTGAGCACTGCAGGAACCTGGATCTGGACACACAAAGGAGCAAAGCTACCTGATCATAGCCTGGTTGTAGCAGGCCGTACTGGGTCTCGTTGGGAGAGAGGGGCTATCCCACCGCATAATTTATGTCTAAAGCTAGAACATCAGAGATTAGGATGGAATTAGAGGGATGCCTGTCAGGACCAAGAAATTCTTAGTCATTTGAAAGACTCAAACATTTTTTGTTATTAGATACATACTATCCTAAATATGTAATTAATATCCTGTCTATTTAACTAAGAAAAAAGAAGGTAAATATTTCACTATAGAAAACCTTTGAGTATATTTTGTTTTCCCCAAAATTAATGATGCTAACTGTATATTTAAATTATCTCTATTATAAGATAGAATATTAAATAAGTATTATATCTCATAACTATTTGATTGATTGATCTTGAAAGGTTTAAGAAGTCATCCAAAAACAAGTTTGAAAAATTATGTGATTTTTATGTATACATAATTTCTTTTGATTCAAGTAAATAATATCTTTTTTTTTTTTTTTTTTCAATTTCAGTTATCCTGAAGTATCTAAGTATCTTCTCTAAATGTATTTTTTGAAAAATAAATTTTACAACATGGGGCATAATATAACTTGAAAAAGTCATGCTGTTCTTTTTTCCAGTTGGTCACCAGAGCCTGAACTCTGGGGCAGGATCCTAATGAATGAATTACAAAAATGGCGCATGTTATGCATTTTTGCCTTGTGATGCTTTTGGTTGTCTATGATTTGTTAATTATTTGGAAACCTCTCACCCCTTTGTTCTAGAAAAGTATTCTGGTTAATGCGTGTGTTCCCCTTTACCATCGTCAAACATTTGGGAAATGGAAATAGGGAAGCAGTAGCTTCTTAGAAAAACTATAGATGAATGAAACAGCAACTGCAACTGCAAAATTAGCAAAAAGTAACAGGAACTGTTGATCTTGTGCATTATTGCTTTGGCTTATTTTTTTCTCCTTTGCTAGGAGACCTGTTATGATGATGTGTGTAGTACTCACCACACTCCCCAGCTTCAGCTTTTCTATAGCAGTGACAGAGGTATGGACTTTTGCTATCTTCTGCTGCAAGATTTTGAGATGTAAAAATTTCCTGTTCTTGTGATTTGATAGAGTGGTGTGCTCCACAAATTTCTTAAAGTTTATCCAGTCTTCTTCCAAAAGGCAGGATATATCTAAAATGCTAAGGTTACCTCCGAGGTTATGGAGGAAAGTCTGGCAGCCAATTGAAAATACAAAAAGGAATACTTCTGTATTTGTGTGTGAGAGGCAGGAAATGTTATTTCAAAGTGATTTTTAAAAGCAAGGAATTTGAAAGTAGATCTACATTTGTGTCTTCTAACCTGATGTTACTCACGATCGTACTCAAGTATAAAGGAATACAGCAATATTCCAGTGAATAACCTCATACTCTAAGACCTTTGATAATATATCCATTGACAAATAATTTACATATGGTATTTATTTGAAAATAACATTATGTTTTGACTAAATGCAGCTTTAAAAGGACTGTAATGGATGGATGTCTGCAGGACAGGAATATTATAGGCAGAACTTCCAGGCTGTAGAATTATCCAGGAAGTTCAAAGAAGAGTGCCCTACTAATCTGATTCATTTGTAAGGTGCTGTGAAAGGGAATTTTCACTTCCCCAAGATGCATAACTGAAATTACTTTGTGATTTATGTGTTGAGCAGATACATTTAGTGCATTTCACATGCCAGGCACTATTAGATACTGATAATAGACCACTCAGGAAATTTGACAGTCTCTGATCTTCAGTAATTTACTCACGATAGAAAGAAAAAACAGACAATTAGATTAAGTGTAAGTGTCGTGAGAGAGTTGAGTACAGGGGTAATTGCTCACTGAAGTTTAACACACAAACAGAAAAGTGCACAAAACATGAACATACAACATTAATGCAATACCACAAAGCAAACCTCTGTGTAAACATTAATCAAGTAAAAAAATAAAGCTTTGCCAGCTGCCGAAAAGCCACCCCACCTTCCTTGCAATGACTACCTCCTTCTCAAGGTAGCTCTACCTTAACTACCCTCTGGTTTTGAACCTTTTATAAAGGGAAATCAAATTATCTATCTATCTATCTATCTATCTATCTATCTATCTATCTATCTATCTATCTATTATCTATCTATCATCTATCTATCTATCAATCATCTATCATTTTGTGTCTGGTTGTTTTATTCAAAAGTATAGTTCATGCATATTTTTTGTATAACTATAGTCTATTCATTTTCATCCTTGTGGAGTCATTTGATGAATATATCACAATTTATTTACCAGATCTACCTTTGAGGGCCAATTCAGCTGTTTGCATTTTTGGCTATTATAAATAATGCTGCTGTGAACATCCTTACATTTGTCTCTTGTTGCACCTGTGAAAGCGTTTTGGTTGTTTAAATATGCAGAAGTAGAACTGAAGGGGTCGTAAGACATTCAGATGTTCAATTATAACAGATAATGCCAGTTTTCCAAAGAGATTATTGCAATTTAGAAGTCCACTAATAGAGAATGAGCATTTCTGTTGCTTCATATCCTTACCAGCACTTGCATTGCAAGCTTTTTTATTTTAGCCATTCTGATGGGCATATTCTTGAATCTCATTGTAGTTTTAAGTTGCATTTTCCCAATAATTATTAAGATTAAATATTTTTTCTTGCCTCCTTTTTTTATTGTGATGCTTATCTTTTAAAAATTAATTTGGAAAAATTATTTAGATATTCAGATTTCAAGCCCTTTGTTGATTATATATATTGCAAATATCTTCACATTCTTGTTATCTTTTGATGAAGATAGGTTCTTAATTTAAAAATAGTCCAATTTATCAGTTTCTTTTTTTTATGAATAGTGTTTTTGATAACTTGTTTGAGAAGATTTTTTTCACATTGTGACTGTAAATCTTGAGGTCCTGAAGATCTCCTACATTATATTTTGGTCCTATATTGTTTTACCATTATTTTTTAGATTCACTATCCATCTGAAGCTAATTTTTGTTCATGTTGTATGGGAAGAAAGTTCTATTTATTTTTTCCAAACGACATCCATTGGGCTATGCACCACTTATTAAAAAGTCTGTTTTCCCAATCTCTCTGTAGTGCTACTTTTGTTATAAATCAGGTGTATATATACATGGTCTATTTCTGAATTTTCTGTTCTGTCCCATTACCTACTTTCTATTCCTGTGCCAACACTGTACTAACTTAATCCCTGTAGCTTTATAATAGCTCTTTATATTCAGAACAATTATATTTTTAATTGTTCTTTTAGTGTGTTGCCCTTTGTATTTCTATATAAATTTTAGAATCAGCTATATAAAATTTAGAATTTTTCACAAAAACTTAAAATTTTGTATGAAGTTGCACTGAATGGTATCTTTTTAAAAATCTTATTTTCTCTTTGTTATTGGTATGTAGAAATAATCTATTTGGGGGGAATTTTCTTCATATGCACTCATATAGTCTATGAATAATGATATTTTTGTTTCTTGCCAAAGTTTATACTGTTTATTTCTTTATCTTGCCTTATTACACTGGCTAGAACCTCTAGTGCATTTTTGAATGGACATGACTGTGGTGGCACCTTTGTTTTGTTTCTGATCTCAGAGGGAAAATTCTCAACATATCACTATTAATATAATGCTTGCTATAGGATTTTTTTTTTTTTTTTGGCAGATACCTCAATCAGATGAAGAAAGCACCCCAAATTCTACCTGGGCTTACCCGGGCTTTCCCTTCTTGGAAGACCCTAAACTCTAATACTTGTCTCCCTAGTTCCTTTTGAGTTAGGGCTCTCAGAGGCTGTGCTTAGCAGCAGGGTTGGAAGGAATTGCCTGTTCCACCACTACCAGGAGCCTGTTGTTATATTTTTACATACATTGTCTTGACTTGGAAGCCCTTCCATTGATATAAATTCTTTTTTTTTTAATTGTTGAAAGTATTACAGATTTCTCCCTTTATTTCCCATTGACCGCTCCTTCCTGCTCCCATACCCTCCTACCTTCCCAGCCTAATGTCCGTGTAGATTGGTTGTGCATATATGCACATAAGTTCTTTGGTTTATCTCTTCCCACCCCTCCCACTATAAATTCTTATTACATCTTTAGAAATGGTTCAAAATCTTGTGGGGGTGAACATACCTGAGAAGCTGAAAACAGCTTTCAGTGTTTTAATAAATGTATAGCACTGCTTTCAGATAATTAGAAATTTTTTTAAAAGAGAAAACACAAAAATGTAATGCTTCTAAATGGTTTTCTGAAAACAGGTTCAAAAGAATATTAATGGTTCCATTAATAACTTACCTGACACCTTACCTGACCTGCCAGTCTCTCTGGTCCTGACTTCCTTGATTGTGGTTGACATTATTGAACAACTCAGGACATATCCTCTTAGAGGGAGACAAAAGAGTAAGTATTTTTTAAAATATAATTTTAAAAAAAGTTTGACATATTGCTCACTTGTCTGCCACTGTTATTTATTGACATGTTTGATAACTTCTTAGAGTTAACATTACAGATAGAAGATTACAAATGATGACATCTAAATATAATTATTTTTAAACCTACTTTGATTGCTAGACAATTATTCTTACTTCAAATTTGCATTTTGATAGTACTGATAAAATGAATAAAATTACCAGATATTTAATACCAAAAATGTAATGTTTAGCAAGAAAATTATCTAAGTAAATTATTATAGATTTGTATTTTTAGAAACTCCCTTAAAATTTTAGCTTTAGCCCTGGCCAGTGTGACTCGGTTGGACGTTGTCCCCTGCACTGAAAAGATGCCAGTTCGATTCCCAGTCAAGTCACTTGCCTGGGTAGTGGGCTCAATCCCCAGTAGGGGGCATGCGGGAGGCAGCTGGCCCATGTGTTGCTCTCGAGTCAGTTTCTTTCTCCAGTCGATGTTTCTCTGTCTCCTTCTCTCTTCTTCTCTCTCTCTAAAAAAAAAATAATAATAATAATAATTAATAATTTTAAAAAAATTAATTAAAAATTAAAAAAAAAGCCAAAAACTTTAAGTTTAGATGAATATATAGTTTAGTTTAGATACCGTTGATACAAGAATTAATATGACTACTGCAGTTATGTGCTAGAGAATTGTTTTTAATTGTTTTAATGTGGATTGTCAAAAAGCTGAAGATCACACTTTAAAAAACAAGATATGCCTTATTCTGTTAAAGGGATCAGTCAAAATTAAATCAAGGTGTCTTTTTAAAAAATATTTTGTGAATTGAATATTTTGTTTGGTCAGTACCAAATTCCTTCAACTTTCATTGAGTTTCACGTGATAGTATCTGTGTTATGCTGCAGTTATTGTATGACTAAGATTCGTGTCTGAAATGAATGGGTTTTGTCTGCTCACCTCCTGATGGGCGGGGCGGGCAGAGGGAGTGAGTCAGAGGGCATCATCGGCAGGCTGGTACTGCCAGGAAGGAAAAGGCCGGACAATCACGCTGTGGGCTATGAGCCATCACCCTTCCAGTCAGTCACTCTTGCTCCTCAAATTATAAAACTAAAACTGAGTTGGAGGCCACCAGGAAACCTGACACTGGGCTTTGTATCTTACACTTTGTCCTTTGGTGGCAGGAGATGAACTGTTATGTTTAACACATGCCTGTGACATGTTAGATAAGGTGGCAGCCAGTGGCCGTTTGTTGAGGAGAAGGTCCTCCCGAGTTACATCTGCCCTTCACAGTCCAGTGTTTTTGTTTTTTTATGTTTTTTAACTGAGAAGATTTGGGAGTTGTCAGACCCTTTGCTACTTCTCTAGGCTCCTTAATGACATAAATGTAGTTTGAAATTTCACTCTTTCATTTTTATTGATTTGAGAGAGAGAGATTTGTTCCATTTATTTATGCATTCATTGGTTGCTTCTTGCATGTGCCTGACTGGGGATCGAAACTGCATCCTTGACATATCTGGACGACTCTTGAACCAACTGGTCTACCCAGCCAGGGTCTGCACTGTTTAACGACTCTATATTTTCCATGTGAATATGAACGTTTCTGTTTAAGTTTAAGTGAAAGTTCTCTTTTAAAAAATACACATTTATATTTTTGGGAAGAAGTGACTGGCATTTTACATTTTATGTTAGGAGTTGGATTTTTTTAAAACTTTTCTTTTAAAAAAATGTTTTTATTGTCTTAGAGAGAGAGGAAGGGAGGGGGAGAGAGAGACAGAAACATTGATGAGAAAGAACATCGATTGGCTGCCTCCTGCATGCCCCCCAGTGGGGATGTGGCCCACAACCTGGGCATGTGTCTTGACCGGAAATCGAACCGGCGACCTCTTGGTGCATGGGTCGATGCTCAACCACTGAGCCACACTGGCTGGATTGAGTTGGATTTTTAAATGGGAATTTTTCCTGTATCAGAAGTCCTGATGAAACTGAGAATTGAAATAAACAAATACCAAAGAAAAAGTCAGTCTTAGGGAGAAGATTCTAGGGCACCTTGTATAACTGCTTCATCTTAGTTGAAGAGCCCTGTTCTGGAGATTTTCTCTGTCCAAATTTAAGAGGGTTAATATCTGTTTTAATAGCACTACCGTTTAATAAAAATCACACTTTAAAAAACTAGCATTCACTCAAAATACCTTTGTAAATATTAATTATATATTGGTCTGATTTTTATGCAAACATTGAAATCAGTCTCTAATACTTACTTTAGAATGCATACTAATAAAATGAATTGTGTGAATTTTTAATCCATGGAAAACTCTCTTTTATCCCCTGGAAGTTAATTACATAAATCTGAAAATCAGCAAGTATGCTATAAATATGGTTTCACTACATGTGGTACTTCAGAATCAAAGAGGTAGGGAAGGGTGGGTGACAAACAGGTTTAAAATAATTTGGCTCCTTTCAGGCTTGTAGCAGTTTTGACCTTGTATAGATGAAACTAAGGTAATCTACAATGCTTGGACACTCTTGCACTATCCTAACCGTCTTAATTCCAAGCTACCAAAGGTTAATCATCATGTAGCTTTTCCTATTTCTAAATTTTAAAATAAAAGTTATTCTTGCTCTGACTGGTTTTGCTCAGTGGTTAGAGCATCAGCCCATGGACCAAAGAGTCATGGGTTTGATCCCGGTCAAGGGCATGTACCTCGGTTGCAGTTCATCCCTGGGCCTGGTCAGGGTCATGTGGGAGGTAACCAGTAGATGTGTCCCTCTCACGCCGATGTTTCTCTCTCTCTCTCTCCCCCCTTTCCATTTTATCTGAAGATAAATAGAAAAATATCCTCGGGTGGGGATTAAAAAAAAAGTTTTCTTGCCCCAGCCAGGTGCTCAGTAGGTTAGAGCATGATCCTGCACACCAAAAAGGTTGCAGGCTCGATCCCGGTCAGGGCACATACCTAGGTTTGGGGTTCCGTCCTGGTTGGGACACATAGGTAACCGATCCACATTCCTCTCACATCGATGTTTCTCTCTCTCTCTCTCTCTCTCTCTCTCTCTCTCTCTCTCCCTTCCTCTCTTTCTAAAATCAATTAAAAACAAAACAAAACACATATCCTCAGGTGATGATTAAAAAAATAATAATAAAATAAAAATTATTCTTTATAGGAAATATGCTTTTGCTTAAAGCAGACTTTACTAGACCAAGGAATTGCTTTTGCTCACTTCTGATGAACAGGTGAAATACTTCAGCACCAAGTGACTACTATGCCAAAATGTCTAAGGGCGTCGTTGCTTGTCGCGTGAGCCTCACAGAGGAATGTTTTCTGGCACATAGACCTCAGAGGCATGCAGTGTCCCACATGTACGTAGTGCTTGAATGACGTTTCATTCGATGTAAATTTGGTTTTGCTCTATGTTGTTTTGCTTAAAGTCACAGAACAGTGATGGTAAGTGAGGACTTACTATAATGTCAATCCCCAGTCTTATGAAAAATATAAAAATAAGCCCTGGCCAGTTTGGCTCAGCGGTTGGAGCGTCGGCCTGTGGACCAGAGAGTCCTGGGTTCAGTTCCCGCTAGGGGCACGTACCAAAAAATATATATATATATATATACACACACACACACACACACACACACACACACACACACACACATACACACACACACACACAAACATAGACTGGATGTCCCCTGCTCTTAGTAGGATCTGTGTACAAATGAGCATACCTTAACATCTCCATCTGCATTTGGCTAGTTCACTCCCAACCTGTAATTGCCTGGACCTTCACCTCTCTTCCTCTGGTATTGTTCCCCGCCGGTTGTCCAGACTGTTGAGCACCCATCGCTCCTGCTGTCCTCTCGGTCGCCGTCCTCGGGCACAAACACCTTGGCGTGCCATTTCCCCACTCCCGCTCCTCTGTGCGCGCCGCGCACCCCTGCCACTTGCCTCTGGAGGCTGTTCAGCTGGGCTGTGCCCTGCTTACCTTTCCTGTGCAGCTTGGGACACTGGCATTCTTCCACCGAGCTCTGCTTCTCCGGAGGGAGAGTCCCATCCGAGGAATGGAATAGCTGCTTTCATTAGGAAACGGCAGCTTTTATCCCCAGGGTGCTTGTTTACCAGCAGATTGGCTGGGCGCGAATGATTTCAAGTAATGGCCATTTGCCTCCCCTGGAAACCTCCATTTCCCCTCCTATCACTGGAGCTTGTGGCTTCTTTTTTTCCCCACAGAGGTCTCATAGATTCTCTTACGTCAGGCTTGCCTATATTGTCTGAACCCCAAATCAGGATCACCTTTAGATTTCCTTCCCTGCCTCCACCTGGATTCATTCATCACCCCCTGTATAAATCAGGGAATGCAAAGAGACACATAAGAGGTCCATGGATAGGGTGCAAATTTTTAATCCTACCTGCAGGACTCTTTGAATAGCGTGAGCCCTGCTTGGGCACTATGTTGTAAGTGGTATAACAGAGTATAATAGTTACTTTGGGGCTGCAGATGAAGGGAAAACTTTGTCCTATCCAACGGGTTAGGTATACATGTTTTGGTAGTAAAAATTACTTCAGTTGGATTTCACACCCTGAATGAACAAACCTTGCTGGAATGGAAGCTGCCTTCTTTTTTTCTTATTGGTTAATTCTCACCTGAGGATACTTTTCCATTGATTTTTAGACAGAGTGGAAGGGAGAGAAAGGGGAGGGAGAGAGGGAGAGAGAAACATCAATGTGAGACAGACACATTGATTGGTTGCTTCCTGCATGCACCCCAACCAAGGCTAGGGATCAAACCTGCAACCATGGTACATGCCCTTGACCAGGAGTCAAACCTGCGACCCTTTGGTGCACAATCTGAAGCTCTAACCACTTAGCACACTACCCAGAGTTTTTACAAGTGTATTCTTTTTTTTTTTAATATGTTTTTACTGATTTTTTAGAGAGAGAAGAAGGGGGAGAGAAATAGAAGCATCAATGTGAGAGAAATACATCAATTGGCTACCTCCTGCA